CGCCGAGCTCGGCACCACCATCACCAAGTCCGGCGGGGACTACGCCTACATGCTGGAGGTGTACGGCTCCCTGCCCGCCTTCCTCAAGCTCTGGATAGAGCTGCTCATCATCCGGCCCTCCTCGCAGTACATCGTGGCTCTGGTGTTCGCCACCTACCTGCTCAAGCCCATCTTCCCCACCTGCCCCGTGCCCGACGAGGGTGCCAAGCTGGTGGCCTGTCTATGTGTCCGTAAGTAGCGGCGGGTGGCGTTCGGGTGACAGGCAGGAGGGGTGGATGGGGTTTAGGGAAGGAATTTCTCCCTGGGAAGGTGGGGAGGCCCTGGCACATGGTGCTCGGAGAAGCTGTGGCTGCCCCCGGATCACTGAAGCGTCCAGGCTGGAGCATCCTGGTTTGGTGGAAGGTGTCCCTGGGCGTGGGACGGGATAACCTTTAAATTCCCTTCCCATCGAAACCATTCCGTGGGTCAGTGATCCTCTGCAGGTCCCCGCTGTCCTGCTCCACGTGGTTCCTCACTCCCCATCACCTTCCCCTAAAAATCTGCACCATCCTTCCTGTGCTACCCTGGCTGCATCCTGGGGTTCCTTTTGGCTACTCTGAATAGCCACAGCGGAAAATGGGTCTCCACCCGTAATAAATTGAGCAGAAAGTTCCCCAAATGGCAGCTGTGGGCTGGTGAGGCGCTCTGATTCGCGAGCAGCGTGTGATAAATGCAGCGTGCGTTTTTCCTGGGAGCTGGAATGGGATCTCTTGTGCTTTCCCCAGGACCACGCAGGGTAAAACCCCCTTGTCCCCAGGCTCTGCAGGGCCCTGCGCACGTTGGTGTGAGGACGACAATTATCTGTCACCAGCAACTGGTGCTGAACACGCCCTGAGCTGCTTTCAGCACCAGATGTGAGAGGAGATGTTTCCCGCCCGTGTGTGCGCTGATAGCGCGCTCAAAACCTGCGTCTGTGGGGTTTCTTTTGCCAGCAAACATTCTGTCTGTGTGTCTGTCTGTGTGTCTGTCTGTGTGTCTGTGTGTCTCCGGGGCGGTGCCTCGCAGGGCTGTTCGGTCACGGTGGGGTGAATTTAGAGCCAGGGATGCCAGCCTGGGCACACAGAGCCCTGCCAGGGCACTCAGATCTCTCCTGATGCGCTTTTATCGCCTCTCTGCTCTTTTGGGGTCTGCAGTTTTACCACTCAAATCCTATTTTCTGTTTCTCTGCTGACTGCAAAGTCACCCCATCCAAATTTCCAATCCTTCAAATCCAGGACCATGCCCTGTCTCTTCCCTCCTCATCCCCCATTCAATCTTTCTGCTCCACTGAAATTCAATGCCTTTATAAAGATGTTTTTTGGGAGAAGATATCATTTTAGTGAGAGCTTTATAAATCATTTATCCACTGTACAAATTCACAGCCAGGTGATCTCTACATTTTTGCATTTTGAGTGATGAGGAGGAAGCTGCTGGTGTGTGCTGCCCTTTCCTGGGATTGTGTGAGATTCCTTCTCCCTCCGAGGATCTCAGGCATCCCAAAGCTGCAGCACTCGGTCGTTGTGGGAAGATAGATTGGCTGGAAATGTGTCCGAGCCAGCCTGACCCGGGCTGTGGGAGGTAATTGATATGGTTAATTATAGGATTGATAACAGGCAGGGCACCGCGTTGTGCTTTCTTCAGGCAAGATTGAAACTGCTCAGTCCCCAGGTGAACTTTTAGGAATATAAAGGTATAATATAAATATACCTTATATACCTTATATAAATATAATGGGCAGGCATGTGGATTTCCATCCAAATTTTTACAGTGTGGAGAGTGTTTATTAGGGAAATTTAATCATTTAACTAAGAAAGCTGTAAGGTGGTCAGGGAATAGTCCTGCTGATGGGTGTGCTGCCTTTTGGAAATCTGATTTTCGAGCTTTGCTGCTGGTCTGCGCTGTGGTTTCCTCAGGAGAGGGGCAGGGATCCACGTGCCATTTGTGTTCCCTGCTGAAAACCCAAGGAATTAGGATGGAATTTAAGGTTTTCTTGCTGCCTTATGGCAAAGTTTTGCCGTGCAAGCACAGATGGAGCTGGCCAAGCCTTTGAGGATGTGTTTCTAACCAAAAGTGACTTTCATCTTCAGAATCATTCCCAAAATGAGTTTCTGTTCCCATTTTATTGCTCAAAGCCCGGGGCAGGGTTACACAGACCTGTCCACGTTGGGATCTGTTCTCTGGTGAGGATTTGCAGCACAAAACTCTTCAGAGCCAGCTCTCATTCCTGTTTATGCTCCTCCAAGGAAAGTCTCCAGCCTTCCTTTGGTAACAATTAGGGTTTCCCTGGGGCAGAATTTGTTCTTGAACCTTTATCCTGAGCTGCCAGGGGAAAGGTTTGGAGTTCTCCAGATCTGCATCATCCCCATGTGTTTCTCCTTTAAGCTCTGCTCCCCCTTGCACTGCTGGCTCTTGGTTTGTTTATGCTTTGGGTGAAGTTTGGGGTTGTCTCCTTTGCTCCAGGAGGTTTGTTCATCCTGCAGCGCCTTCAGCGGGGCAGCTTTTGGGAACTTTGATTTTTGGAACTTGAATTTTTGGAATCAGCTTTTCATCTCCCCGGTGCCAAAACCACACCGTGACCCAGGAACAATGAACGAAATAAATCTGCTCCAGGGGCTCAGGCAGCCACACAACCCTTGTGGGGACTCACAAACAGCTTTGTGCAAACAGAAACTGCACAGAGAGAGACTTTTTACTCTTTTCAAAAGCTCTAGAGTAGAAAAATAATGACCTATTTGTGCATAGGCTGTAGCACATACATGAATGAGTTACCTCAAAATGGGGGAGAGCAGCTTGGGAAGCAGCAGAGGAATTTGGGACCTGGGGCTGGGGTACAGCAGCCAAAATGCAGCCTTGCAGAACAGTCCCTGCTCTATTCCTTGCAGGGTTTGTATCTCCACACAAAATGCACTTGGCTGCACAGTTTGTAGTAAGAGGAGGAATAACTAAAGTTATTTGTTTCCACTTTGCTGCTGCTGAAGGGTTGAATAAATCGTGTGTTGTTCAGAGTTTGCCACCATGAACTTCAGAGAGTGAATTAATGCATTAAGAGAACCTAAATCACAGGCTTGAGCGAAAGGAAAAAATGGTTGGAAGAGGGAATTTTGTTCCCCTGGAAGGTGCTGAGGAAAACAAGGTGGGTGGTAAGGAGAATTTCCCTACAAATAGGTATTTTGTGCCCTGAAGGTTGTAATCTACGCACAGTTGGTATGCAGGGCTTCTTTCATGGGCACCGGGAGTGCCTGTGGTGTTTGCCACAAATAAAAGCTGGGAATCCACCCAGGGAAATCTTCCTGGGGCAGGAAGGGTCAGGCTGTTCATCCTTAGCCCAGCTCATTTCGTGTTCCCCAAATTTGGCTGAAGGCTTTGCAGGCTGCAGGTTACTTGGGTGGTTCAGAAATGGAGCATCTCTTTTAGCCGTGAGATTGGATGGTTGATACTTCAAAACTGATAACACAAAATCCATCTGAGTGTTAGGGACTCAAAAATTGGAAGTTCGGGAAACAGAGTTTGTGCATTTGTGTGAAAACACAGGAATAATTTGAATTCTCTCGCCTCTGGGCTCATCTAAACCAGTTTTACCCCTTCTGTAGTGGGTGGAGGGATGGTTATGAGGGGCTGGATTTGCATATCTGATGATCTACATTGCAGTGTCAATATTGGACATGGCAGAGAATTAAACCTTGGATCCTGTGCTCTGTCTCAGGTTTTCCTTCCACCCTGCTGCCATTTGTGTGAGTGCTTCAAGGTAATAAATCCTAACAAAAATCAGTAAAAACCAGCAGTACCCCTGTGTGTTCCAGGGAGGGCTCAGGGGTGGAAAGTGTTGAACTGATTAATTAAAGATGCTGTGGCTATTCCTCATTTCCCACTGTTGATTTGCAGATTTCCTGCTTGCACAGAGGCACCTGCCCAGGGCTGGTGCAGAAAATTCATTCCCTGTGCAGGAATGAAGCTGCTGCCAGCCCTGAGCTGGATCTTGGTGTTCCACAAGTGCCTGAGCTGTTCATCCCACACATCCTCACACCCTGAGAGCCACACACAGCTTCTACAATTCCCTGATTTCCTGACAAGAAAATCTGCTCCACAGTGGGAAACTGGGATTGGACTCGATAATTCATCCTTGTGGATCCTTTCCAGCTCAGGATATTCTGTTGTTTTGATTTTTTCTTCCTCCTCACTGTTAGATTAGCAGTTTGACAGTTTGCTTCTGAATTCGTGTCTCACTTATTAATTAGATATGCAAATCTGGCACTAATAACCCCAGCACAGCAATATCAAAGCCAGGGAATTTTAATCTTCCTCAGAATTTATCTCAACTTCCTCCACTGCTTCCGAGCTCTGCTGTTGGGCATTCCTCCTGCAGGGCTGGAATTGCAGGGAATGCTGATGAGCTCCTCATTTCTCTCTCCTGTTTTGAGCAGCCAGAGGGTGGAAGGATGAGCAGGAGGGCAGGTTTGGGAGCCCTTGTCCTGTGAGAGGGAATCCAAGCAAGGGCAGCTGCCAAGCTGTCCAGGAGGGAATATCCACTGTCAGCATTGCACCCAGAAATCCCAGATCCTGTGGGGAGCAGGAATCTTTATTTGACATCAAGGTTTTGCTGCCAGGCTCAGCTCTTTTACAGGTGTGTGGATTTTCACCTCATCAGGAATTAACTGGTGAAAAGCAAACACAAAACACACCCAGGGCCTGCCTGCCTGAGATGCGTTCCTTCTGCAGCATTGCTGCTTTTAATTAATCTGCCAGGACAAGCTGGGTGTGAAGCTTTGAAGATTTCTTTTCCTCCTGCAGAAAGGTGGATTAAGGGACTAAAGCTCCATCAGCAAATTGCCCTTGGAGGAGTGGAGTGGAAGGAAGGGGCTGTGGAGCCCCTGCTGGATGGCAGAGGCTGCAGGGCTGGGGTTGTTTTTTTAATCTGTGTTTAATTAGTGCAGCATTAATGAAAGCAGGCTCAGACACTCACAGGACTCTCCAGAAATCAATGAGAGCTTGGAGGGCTCTTGAAACACACAGGGAGCAGCCACTGCAATTCCAGCACCCCTCTCCTGGCTCTCACAACAATTACCCCATTAAATGTTACTGGGTTTGAATCATTTCTGTTATCACTGAGATCATTTGAGTCTCTCTGCTCTGGCATGAACAAATTGGGAAGGTTTTTGTGGGAAACCCCTCCAGGGTCAGCCTCATTTAAAGCAGCATCATTTGTTTTGAGTAT